ATTTTTTGTATACCTCTTGTATACTGGGATTTTTGCCCTTATCTATCAATAAAATCTTTACCTTATCAAAGAAAAGAAGTTTTGGCAGTCAGCACTTTGCAGATTAAGCGTTGGAGATGCTACTATTGTGCTAGGACATTTAGGATAGAAAATAGAAAGGCATATTGAATGCGATATTGTAAGTGGAAGTGGGAAATTTGTAGGTTTTAGATCTTTGTTTACCCTTTAGCATTCTGAGGATTGGAGAAGTCTCGTCAACACATATACCAGCCATGGTTATTGACCTCTATAAGAATTCAGAGATACACTCATTTGTTGGCTACCATAAACCTTATGGAGTTCAGTTACCCAGTTTCAACCTGTTTAACAAGCGATAATGGTTAGGTGTCAAAATCTTTTTATTGACTTTTTAAAAGTTGATTATTTTTTGAGGGTCTTTAGCATAAAAAGTTCTATTCCTCTTGGTGTGAAAAGAATTGTGTCAGGTTATGCTCTGTTCTGATTTTGTTCTTTGGTTTTGCACTTCTGATGGATTCTTTCTGCTTTTAACCGTCCTCTATTGGGTTCCCAAGTTGTTCTAATATATCTGGCCTGGTTCTTTTTGCTCATGTTCAGTGGCTGGAGTCAGAGATACTCCGTCTCAGTCATCTTCGTGATCGAGCAAGTGAGAAAGGACGCAAGAAGGAATATCCTTTGTTCGCCAAAATTTTGTCATTTCTATTCGTTTCCCTTTCCCTCCTGCCATTATCAAACTGCAATGCAATATTTGCTTGACAGATAAATTCTTCTTTGGTTTTCATTTTTTTTCTCTGGAGCAGGACCGTTAGGCCAATATTGTGTGTAGTGCTAGCCTGCTAGGGCCTGATAACAAAATTTCCTTGATATCAGAGGATGGAATAAAGTTTGCTTATGAAAATTATTATTGTTTTTTTAAAGCATATGTACTTCAGGTTATGACTGGGTTTGCATTAGAATTCAATCCCTAGATTATGAGTGTTCTGTGCTCTTGCAGTAATTCATGTGTTTCCTTTTTTTTTTTAAAAAGTTTCCTTTTAATAGTTATTTTATGTTGTTTAATAAACTTATATGTTGTTAATAAACTTATCCTCACTTTGGCATTGTTTGAATTTTGGACATTGAACATTGTTTTGTCCAGATCTAATATGGAGAGATCCACCTACACAACAGAAAATGACACCTTTAGAAGCAATTCTCCCATCCCCCTTCTTTTAGTCTTTGCTTCTTGTCGCTTGGGCTGAATCAGTCACTCTTATATACTCCTTAACTAATGATTACACTTAGAGAATGTGTAGAGAAACTACAGCTCTTGAAGACTCCCGATGAGCGACAGCGTAGACTTGAGGAAGTTCCAGAAATACATGCGGATCCAAAAATGGACCCAAGCTACGAGTCTGAGGATGAGGATAGTGAAAGTAATGATAGACGAGGTTCTATTAGTTCCCTTTTCTTCTTCATCTGTTATAGTTAATACAACTTGCTGTGTATAATTTGGAAGTTGCTGCGTCTGCATGCAGATGTTTACATGAGGTCTAGAGATTCAAGTTTTAGCCGGAGAGGACGTGCGCCAGTTTCTCCAAGAAGCAATTTTTCTCCAAAAGAATCCTGGGGGGCTGTAGGAAAAGTTTCTTCAAAGAACTTGGAATTAAACAGGAGTTCCTCTGGTAAATACGTTTCAAGCAGAAGTGAAGATGGTGCGCATTCTGGAGGGGGACTGAATGAAGTTACATGGAATGAAGGAAGAGATAGGGAGACAGAATCTAAGAATCTGGAGAAGCCGACGTCTGCTGCTAATTCCGACCCAACTGGACGGAATAGCCAATTTTTGTCAAGAACGGAATCATTTTCTGGTGCGTCATCGGTAGGTTCTCCAGCTATACTCCAGAGTAAGGTTGCAGAAACTTCCATCAAGATCAATGAAGCTGAAAAAATGTGGCATTACAAGGATCCTTCTGGTAAAACACAGGGACCATTTTCTATGGTCCAGTTGCGTAAATGGAGCAATACAGGATACTTCCCTGCTGAATTGAAAATATGGAAAACTACGGATAAACAAGAGGAATCTATTCTTTTGACTGATGCATTGGCAGGGAGGTTTGATAAAGTGCCATCAGCAGTTGACAATATACTTTCAACAACTGTTCTGCAAAAACAAGATGGAGAGAGAGCTCAAGTCGACCAGAATATTGGATCTCAGAATTCTCGTCGTTTGGTTCCCTCTGGAGGTGGAATGACTTCTTCTGGTGAAGTTTCTGCTCTTTCTACGGAGAGTTGGAGTAACAGTGATTCTATGAATCTCCCTTCTCCTACTCCAAAGCAGAATACTGCCGGTTGGGTTGGAGGAGATGGATCTGCTGTTACAGCTGCAAATTTGTATCCTAGTGGTAACAGAGTTCTCCAATCTCCTCCCGCTCCACCAGATGGTGGGATTCATACTTCTACTTCTGTTCAGAATTCTGGTGTGCATTCAGTTAGAGGATCAGATAGTAATAATGTGAATTCTGGTAGTGATTTTGGTCTAGCGCCCACTTCTGAGCAGGTAACTGCTGCACAGTCTGGATATTCTTTGCAAAATGCTCAGTCATTTGCTGCTAGTAGCGAACAACATACAGCAGTGATGAATAGCCAACTTGGTGCATGGGATGCAGCAGCTCTCCAAGCAGAATCTCTTGATATGCAGAACCCTAATGTGGATGTCAATACTTGGGTTGCAGCTGCACCTTCCAAGGGAGAGCCAAATGTTTCTGTTCTGGCACCAGGTCAGCCCCAGGGATATGGTAACTGGGGTACTATGTCGTCATCTGTTCAGAATGTTGCTGGAAATTATTCAAATGCAGGTGCCTCAGTTTTGCCTCAACCTGATTATTGGAGAGCTCCAGCTCAAGGCAGCCAACAGAACATACAGCCTACAACTATGCCTAATGTTCCATGGGGTGGTTTGCAAGAGAATATGAGTTCTGCTTCAGCGTTAAGACCTGAAAATAACAATGGCTGGGGTATGATGCCAGGAAATCCAAATGTGGGCTGGGGTGGACCTGTACCAGCAATCATGAATGTGAATTGGGGAGCGACTGTTCAAGCAATGCCTCAAGGGAACACAAATCCTGGGTGGGTTCCCACTGGGCCACTTCCTGGGAATCCGAACCCCGGATGGGTTGGACAATCAGGGAATCCTGGTGTTCAGGGCTTGGCGCCTGGAAATGCCAATCCAGGTTGGGTCGCTCCAACAGTGAGCTCAGGATCAACTATTCAAGCGCCTACATCTGGTAATGGGTGGGCGGCTATAGGAACTGGAAATCCTGGAGCACATATCCAAGGACCATCTCAAGGAGATTCAAATCAAGGTAGGGGTGCACCTAGTGGAAGTCGGGGGACAAGAAATAATGATCACCATCAAGATGGGAGATTCTCGGGTCAGAGGGACAAAGGATCTCATGGTAGTAATTCTGGTTACAATAGTAGGAACTGGGATAGGCAATCGTCTTTTGGAAATAAAGGGCCTGGAGGTTCATCTAGAGGTGGCTTCAACAAGAATAAGCCCTGCCCATATTATCCGAGTGGTCGGTGTATAAAGGGTCCTAGATGCAATTTTCTTCATAACTAATCAGGAGGAACAAGTAGTAATAGTAGGAGAAAGGTGATTTTGTACAGTGATTTCGTCTCAGTTTTCTTTAGTATATAGGCAATTTTGGTGTTCTATATTTGTAAAACTTGTGCAGATTAGTAGCTCAGCTCTCATCTGATCTGATACAATCTTTTCCAGTAGCTAGAGTTGGCCTGCTTCCATATCAGTTTTTTTTGGTTAATTTTATGTTATCAGCTTCTAATAAAAGCCACAGGTGAGCGTTATGCCATATGTTCTCCTTGTTTCTTTGTGTCCCTGTTGTATTATGCTTTGTACTTGGAAAGTTTCGGTTAACACACAAAGTCCATATAGGTTTAAACCATGAAGTTTAAGCTAGCACAAAAAGGCAATAGTAGACTTCTCTATTTGAGAACTTATTGGACCTTTTTATTATCAACTTCTACTGCAGATTGTAAAAACATAAGAAACGCCTGGCTTATCCAAGGATATGAAAGAGGATAGACTTCTCTTTTTTCGACTTTAGTTGAGATTTCTAATTACCTATAATAGCTTCGTTTGTTCTGATATTTTTTGGCTTTTACAGTGAATAGTTATTATGCATCTATAACAACATTTGATGTTTAAATTTTTTTTGGTTGTTATAGATAAAAATTATCTAAAAATCAATTATTTTCCTTTTTAATGTTATATATAAAAGAAAGCTAATACATTATTAATAATTTCATAGCTAAACATATAAAGATATAAACTTTAAGGCAGACAACTTAAAGCTACCTAGAAAAATAAATTCTTTTAAGATTGATGGAAGAACTTTGTAATTGTAGCTTGCTTTGTAGATTTATTCTCTTACTAGCGATATAAAGCTTATTGGAGAAATCCAAATTTTCAGCAAAAAGGTATCCAATAGCTTTCCCTTAAAGACAAACTAAGAGCTTAATAGTTAAATTTTCTATCTAAGTATTTTTTGAAATTTGTCCAATGGAAAAGATATCATGTGCAAATCTTCAAATCTTATATCTTATGCAAGATAGAAACTTTGTTTAATAGAAAAGATTGTGTGCATATTTTTAAAACTGTTATTAGTAATCTTAATGTTTCTTTATGGCAGTTATAGAAGGGTAATTTTATAAAGAACGTTCTACTATAAATATGACCGTTACTGTTATAGGTAAAAAGCTGTTATAGATAGGTATAATATAACTTAAAAAGTCGATTCTAAGGAAAATTTGGCTTTTACGGTGAATGACTATTATGGTGAATGACTGTTATATAAGGACATTGATATAGAGAGTTGTAATGGTATCTTTGACAATTCTCACCAAGAGTAAAAATACCTCTATTTTCATCTTTGGTCATGTCATTTTTATTTGAGGACAATTGCAGTCCTTTTGAATATTTGTTCATCTGTTACCAAAAGTTCCAAATTTGTCCTATAAAATCTGTCTTCATTCTTCTTCCAGCTGCATATGGCTAAAGTTATAATCTTCCCAAGATGCACATCATTTCTACATCCTTAAACATCAACTGCTACAAATCACTAAACCATTTTAGACTAAAACCACTCTCCAAAATCCTTTCTTTTTATTCTTCTTCTATAATCCCCTGCTCTAAATTACCCCACTACAAAACCAAACTTGAAAAATCCCAATGCAAATGGAGAACAAATCATATATTTTCCCAAACCAATCCACTACTATCACTTTTAGAAACCAAATGCAAATACATGACTCAACTCGAACAAATTCAGTCTCAGATGATTATTACTGGCCTATTCTCAGATGGGTTTGCTTCAAGTCGTTTAATAGCCTTTTGTGCCCTCTCAGAAAACGGTAATCTTAATTATTGTAAAACGATTTTGTATAATATGGAAAACCCAAATACATTTTCTTGGAATATGGCTATAAGGGGTTGTAGTGAAAGTGAAAATTCCAAAGATGGAATCTTTTTGTATAAACAAATGCTTACAATTGAAAACACAAATACATTTTCTAGGAATATGGATATAAGGGGTTGTAGTGAAAGTGAAAACCCCAAAGATTCAATTTTTTTGTACAATCAGATGGTTTTAACTAAAGGGAGTGAATATAGTTGTTTGAAGCCTGATAATCATACTTTTCCTTTGTTGCTTAAGATATGTTCTAGATTGGATTTGTATTATATGGGTCAAGAGGTTTTTGTGCATGTTTTGAGGTTTGGTCATGATCATGATGTGTTTGTGCACAATGCAATGATTCATTTTTTGGTTTCTAGTGGGAAGTTGGAGGATGCAAATAAGCTGTTTGATGAAAGTTCTGTGAGGGACCTAGTTTCTTGGAATTCATTGATTAATGGTTATGTTAGGAGTGGGAGACCGAGGGCGGCATTGATGGTATTTGATAAGATGAAAATAGCATCTGTGGAGCCCGATGAAGTTACTATTATCGGGATAGTAGGGGCATGTGGTCAGCTTAAGAATTTGGAGCTAGGGAGAAAGTTACATAGCTATATTATGGATATAGGCTTGAATTTTAGCGTACCACTTTGCAATGCAGTCATAGACATGTATGTGAAGAATGAGAGTCTACACGAAGCAAAGGCTTTGTTTGATAGGATGGAGGAGAGGACTATGGTAAGTTGGACTACAATGATTAGTGGGTTTGCTAAATTAGGCCTTTTGGATGAAGCGAGGAGGCTCTTTAATGAGATGCCTGAGAAAGCTATTGTACAGTGGAATGCCTTGATCGGAGGTTATGTCCAAGCTAAGCGCGGTAAAGAGGCACTGGCTTTGTTTCACGAAATGCAAAACATGAATGTAAAACCTGATGAAGTGACTATGGTTAGTTGCCTATCAGCTTGTGCACAACTTGGCGCACTTGATATTGGGATTTGGATTCACCACTACATCAAAAAACATAAGCTTTGTCTAACTGTTTCACTGGGAACTGCGCTTGTTGATATGTATGCCAAATGTGGTAATGCGGAAAAGGCACTTCAAATTTTTCATGAGATGCCCGTCAAAAACTCATTGACTTGGACAGCTGCAATTGGTGCCTTAGCATTTCATGGAAATGGACGTGACGCTCTATCATATTTTTCGAAGATGGTTGACAGTGGCCTGATACCAGATGATGTCACACTTCTCGGGGTCTTATCAGCTTGTTGTCATGGAGGTTTGGTTGAAGAAGGGCGAAAGCTGTTTGCTGAAATGAGCGCAAATTTCAAAATTCCTCCTAAATCTAAACATTACTGTTGTATGGTGGACCTTTTGGGCAGGGCGGGGCTTTTGCATGAAGCTTATGAGCTTGTCCAGAGAATGCCAATGGCAGCTGATGCTTCAATATGGGGAGCATTGTTTTTTGCTTGTCGAGTTCATGGAAACGTCGAGATTGGGGAAAAGGCAGCTCTGAAACTTCTTGAGTTTGATCCTAGTGATAGTGGAACTTATGTCTTACTTGCTAATATGTATGTTGAAGCAAATATGCGGCATAAGGCACGAGATGTTAGGAAGATGATGGATGAAAGAGGATTAGAAAAAACACCTGGTTGCAGCTCCATTGAAGTAAATGGAGAACTTTTTGAGTTTATTGTTAGAGACAAGACACATCCACGGTCCGATCAGATTTATGAAAGTTTGATTCACTTAACGAGACATATGGAAATAGTTAATTATTTTCCATTTACCGGATATGACCTCCTACTTGATACTGATGTTTACTGCGCAATATGAGAAATCCGTCGCCAAACCTACTTAAACTACATAAAAGCTTGGCCCCACAGGCGATGTTCCAATGATTAGGAGGGGACAGGAGTCGGCCTGCAATCATCAGGCCATGAGCCTGACTACTTGATCAGCGCCTTCTCCTGCTGAGGTATTGTGACTTGCATTTGAACACTTCTGCATTACTCCAGGGCTCATTTTAAGATCATATTATCTGAATATTTGTTGGTATCTTGCTAGATGCAAATTTTGTTTCTTTCTAAATTAGTTCCTGTTATGTTGACCAACTCTTAGGTCAAATTTTAGCGGTTAGTTATGCAGCTCACCACACTGTTTCAAGCGTAGTGGTCATCCTGATCTTTTAAGCTGAAGATGATATCAAAATCCTACTCTTTATTCTTGCTAAGTCAGTGAAAAAAAGTTTACTCCTTATTGTATCACATCTTGTAGCTTAATTGTAGATTTGGAGAGATAAAAGTTATCAAAAGTTAGCTCGATTGTTGCTTGCTTTATTCTTAAACTCTTTCTCATAATTGCCATTATGGGTATCGTCGTCCTAGATTAGGGAAAATATATTAATGGGTCTCAAAGATTGTAGCAGCTAATGCTTGCCATTCTCAAGGGTTTGTCTGGTACAATATATCCCACTATTGTACCAAACGACCCCTTAAGAATGGGGTGGGATATCCAATTGGACTAGCTATCCCACCTTCTATATGGAATAACTAATCCCACCATTTTAGTGTAAAATTTATCCCCAGATTAGTTAATACCTCTGACCGAACATGGGATAAATACAATTTCAAATTCTATCTCGAGATTATTATCATTATCCCATGTACCAAACGACCCTTAAGAGTTGTAAGGAAAGATAGTGTCACAAGATCGTTTCGTCCCGAAGTATAATATATGATCAAACCATTCGCCATATGAAGGTTTAATAAATCTCATAGCCTTTTGTTTCTGTCCAAGACATGGCCTAAGTATTCTGTCGCCATTTTTCCCTCCCTTTTCTTTTCCCTCTTCATTGGTACCAAATGTTGACATCCCACAAGAATAATTGTAATGTGAAATATACTTAAATGTTTGAATTTCTTTCAAGCAGGAGCACAGGACCTCAGTTAGCTGTTCAGGTAGAAGGATGATGAGATGATGGATGAGCTAAAAGGTTTTGTCTGTGAACATTTTCTCAGCATATATTGGCAGCAGCCAAATACAAACCCCAGCACAAGGATTTCCAGAAGTGGATAATAATCCAATATAAAAGGGCAGCCCGGTGCACTAAGCTCCCGCTATGCGCGGGGTACGGGGAAGGGCCGGACCACAAGGGTCTATCGTACGCAGCCTTACCCTGCATTTTTGCAAGAGGCTGTTTCCACGGCTCGGACCTGTGACCTCCTGATCATATGGCAACAACTTTACCAGTTACGCCAATACTCCCCTTCATAATAATCCAATATCAGAACCTGAATTTACCATGACTCTGTTTGCAATGGGATGAGAAAGCTTGGCGGGCGAGAGGGGTCTGGAAGCTATGCGGATGTTTTTCAACACTCCATCCGCTTAGTTGTTTTAGACTCTGTTGCAGAGGCTAATTGGCAGAATTGAGCAACTGGAGAGCCTAAACGTCATTGAGGATGAGTTCATCAGTCAACAAACGAATTCTATCTACAAATGCTAATATTATGGATCGGTCGACTTCTCATGATTGATTGTCTCATCAATTAGCTCAGACAAGCTTGGAGAGGTGATCTGAATCGCTATCAGAGAGAACTGAATTTAACGTGCAAAGACGGTACTATCTACAAACTGATTTGGATTCGGGCACAAAGTTAGAGCCCAAACCTAGTGGTCATCAAAAATTTCTGTGAAAATGTGATGTGCTTCTTTTCTAGATCATGAATTTCCTTGTATTACTACTCATAGATGGGTTCTTCATACTAGTCTTGAATCCTTGACCTAGTGGAAAACTTTAAAGACAATAAGCATTTACTCAACTCCAAAACTCAAGAAAGACCAGTCGTTGTATTACTAGTCATTAAGTTTGAGAAACCTTAAAACTTAAAATAAAAAATATTTTGGAACAAGATGAATGACAAGAAAGAACAATTAGTAGACATCGGGTGAAATTTGGGTCTAAACATAGCGCGAATGCTCTTACCGATATTGTGAGGCTATAACATTAATTCGTTAGTTTTATGCTGACTGTCAGCCTATTGCGACTCTCCTCCTTCATTCGGACTTGGGATAGACAATGTGAACAAGCTCAAACAAGTAGAGTTTAGTCAAGGTAATACATTTACTTTAGATCCTATGCATTATTAGAGATACTTATGCCAGTAGGAAATATATCAAGCTTCAATACTTTTAAATTTTATTTTCTATTTTATGAATTTAAATGGGCACTATATTGTTAGGTTTCACTGGCAGAGACTAATTGGCAGAATTGACCTTGTTGATTTAGATAAGCAAAAGGAATAAGATTTTTTTTTTTTTCCGGTTTAATTCGAAAGCTCGCTAGTCTGACTAATTCTATTTTGCCAAAGTGAATCCACAAAAGAGGTAAATCGCTTCCTATAAAAAAGTTCGGGTGATTTTTAAAAAGAGACTTTTCCCTTCCTATACCATATATGAAACCTTATTACCAAAAATGTGCTGTAATACCCCGTAAATTCGGCTTAGGTGTGAATGTGGTAAATGAGTGGTAAGGTTATATTTTGTACATGTGAAGTCCCAACGGGATGATTGTGGGTAAAATAGTTGTTTCAAAAATCAAGATGGAAAGAGAGGTGCATAAGATTTGACAAAATCGACTAAGTTTGCAGAAGGTCTGTCTTCCATCAAGTTTTAGTGAAAATGTGTAAGGAATTGGGGAAAACGCAAAGCATGAAAGTTGTAGGCCTTTGAAATAGCTTTCCAACGATATATTATGGAGCCCGAACGGATCTCTGTGCAAAAAGTTATGTGCGTTTTTCAGAACAGTACGCGTATGCGCGCCCGGTAGCGCGACCACTAGCGCGAACAAGCCTCCAGGTGCGCGATCGCGCTAGTGGGAGGCAGTGTTACTGCCGTTTAGCGCGACCACTAGCGCGAACAAGCCTCCAGGTGCGCGATCGCGCTAGTGGGGGGTCGTTTTAAAGCTATATTTCGTCCCCCACAGCCCCAAAACATAAAAACTTGCTCTAGAAAGGGGAACTCTCAAAAACCTAACTCCTTAAGGGTCCTTTCACCACCCAAGGTAAGTTCTAATGGTGATTCTAAGTTAATTTCAATTTTCCAATATCTTATTAACATGGATAAACCCTCCATATCATTAGATATTCGATTGGGACATCATTGTTGAGAGAAGGAAGCCTAGAACTCGAAATTCAAGGGTTGGAACTTCGAAAAGGTAATGTCTTCACCCTCTAATTGATTCTAGCATTGGTTTAATGATTATAAACCCTAGTTCATGAGATATGATTTGATGGGTTTGATAGAAAAGCATGAACGATTATAGGTTTGGGGAGTTGAGTGTTGATTATTGGTTAAGGGTGTTGTCTAGCTTATGGGTGATAAAGAATAATATCGATTACAACCATTTGAGACTTTAGAATTTATCTAGGGGCAAGGAAATGGGTTGTTGGGTGTAGAGACACCATTAATAAGGACTATGAAGCTTTATTTTCACCAAGTGTTTGATAAAATGCTTAAGTGACCAAAACATGAGCATTATAGCTAATATGGAATCCCTTTGACTTGTATTGCTATAGATTAAAGTTCAAAGGGTTGACAAACGTTGTATTATGCTCAAGAGCCGGAAGTTAAGGTATGTAAGGCTAACTCTTTACGTTTGGGAATGTCTATGATTCTCCCTACGTCATATTCATTATGACCCTTACCAGTTTCCTCAGAAAGTAACTATGACCTAGTTCCCTGAATAGTAGTAGAACTTCTATTCTCTAGATGGCATAGTTTCATAATCATTAGATATTCTATGAGTCTCAGTTATGACAGATCAACTTATTATGAATATTCATCTCGGTCTAATCCTATTCGTTATTACAGTATCATGTCACTTGGTATGGCTCATTATTTCAGTATAATTTATTACAGTATGATTCTCAGTTCCTGATTCTAAATTCCTGAATGTTGAACACCTATATTTGGGCCTGAGGCCGTAGTTTATGCTTTATGCATGTTTGGGCCTGAGGCCGTAGTTTATGCTTTATGCATTTTTGGGCCTGAGGCCGTAGTTATGTATACGTATATTTGGGCCTGAGGCCGTAGCTTGTGCACATGTATATATATTGGGCCCGAGGCCGTAGCTTATCAGATAAACAGGTTTTTCATCATTCAGAAGAGGGAGTATTCATATCCTTACTTCCTTGTTCAGTTATCAGTTTATCAGCTAGCAGTTCAGTTTCAGTTTCAGTATTTACAGCTCTTTTGTTCAGCTATTTTACATACCAGTGCAATTCAAATGTACTGACGTCCCTTTTGCCCGGGGCCTGCATCTCGCAATGCAGCTAACGATTTTCAGGTTGACGATTCTGCTTGTTAGGACATCTCGTATCAGCTGTTGGTGAGCCCCAGTCTTTCGGGGCTTTATCTCTCTTTTGTGTTAGTCATTATAGTATTTTCGGTTAATAAGGTATACCGGGGACCTTGTCCTGGTAAACAGTTGGCATTTTCAGTATTCCTTAGAGGCTTCGTAGACTATAACCCAGTCAGTCAGATATTAGCAGGCTCATGTGTTAGCCTTGTCGGCTACTTGTTTATACTTGCAGACCTTTCAGTATTTTCCGCATCTATGATATTTCAGTCAGACTTTTTAGCAGATTATCATGTTTTACATTTACCTCTAGCTCATAGTTATACCACATGTTGATCCAGCCATACAGTTGGTTCGCTCGGTCACATGCAGTCAGGCACCGAGTGGCGTGTTACGCCCAGGCCATGGTTCGAGGCGTGACATGTGCATAGTTTCATATTTACCCGTCATGTTCACAGATATTCTACAAAATATATATCATTCATTAAATACCAATTTATTAGGAGCTGATTCCTTCCTAATTAGGCGCGCTACAAATCTGGAACTAAATATTCTTCCAGATATTCCTATTTAGGCGCGCTACAATTATGGAAGTAAATATTCTTCTAGATATTTTCTACCATTGACAACCATTAAAAAGCTTGAAAGGTTTGAATTCAAATTTGGGTTTTCAAAAATCATTATTTGTTTGGATTGGGTGTTGTTGAAAATAATCGGGAATATGGTTTGGAGTTTATATCTCAATTTTGAGGGGTTTTGGTGAAGATTAGACTTGGTTTTGACTGAATTTCAGATTGAAACTCGAAGAAGAAGAGAAGAAGCCATATTGCAGAAATTGTAGATAAATTGTAGATAAATTGTAGATTATTTGTATTCTAATTGTAGATGCTTTATTTTCTGTTTTCACAAATAAAAAACGGCTAAAACTTCTATAAATCTTCTGAAAAAACGCAATTATGTCAAAAATCACAATTATGCTATAATTGAATGGGAATTGGGATATAAAAATTCAATGTACCTAGTTTATAGATATTTTGTAGATAAATTTTAGATTATTTGTATTGTAATTGTAGATGCTTTGTTTTCTGTTTTCACAAATAAAAAACGACTAAAACTTCTACAAATCTTCTGCAAAAAATGCAATTATGTCGAAAATCTCAATTAAACTACAATCGAATGGGAATTGGGATATTAAAATTCAATATACCCAGTTTGTAGATATTTTGTAGATGAATTGTAGATTATTTGTATTCTGATTGTAGATGCATTGTTTTCTGTTTTCACAAATCCAAAACGATTAAAACTTCTACAAAATCTTCTGGAAAAACGCAATTATTGTGATAAAAATAAGAAATATTGCAATAGATTATAACATTTGATATTGTTTGAGAATTGGGACTATGAAATTGATGGCATATGTCGTGTATGCACGTGTCCTGTTGGAAATGAAACTAATTCACTATTTTTACCATTTGAAATTTGGTTTCATTGAGAGAATTCGATTAATAAGTCGAAAATCACTTTTTTTTATTTTTCTTAATTATTACGTCGAGAATTGGTAAATGATACTTCGTAATATTATTATTCTTCATTGTACAAGTTGATAGTACCGTTATAGAAATATCCATTTTATAAGAACGTATAAGTTGCATGAGCTTCTGAGTCCCTCTCAAAAGCAAAGAACTGAACACCAGAGTTGCTCACCTAAAAACACAAAATCCTAACACCATCACGTGATCTCATCACAAAATCTTTCTGATAAATAGCTCCAGGTTACCATTAATTGAAGCAGAGGAGCTATCAGTTGGCTAGCCACGGGTATGATCTTAGGGAGATATGGTACCTTGAATTAAGGAGGGATATACGTTGCATTAATTGTACCCTTAAAATACACTATGGTATAGAATTGGTAATTTGGTATACTAAGTGTAATTAAGTCAAACCTTAAACATTGAGGGTAATAAGGTTTCCTATGTGGCATAGGAATGTAAAAATTCCTTTTAAAAATAGCCAGATTTACAACTGGTCGTTCAAAAATAGCCCAATTTCAAAAGTAATCGAAATTTAGCCACTTTTTATGTAAAGATAAATCTGAGCGAAAACACTGTTCAAAACCCGGAAAATACTCCAGTATATTATGCTGGAGTTCCAGCATAAGTATACTTGAACTCCAACATATTATACTGGAGTTCCAGGATAGTATGCTGGAACTCCAGCATAATATGATGGAGTTCCAGCATAAATACACTAGAACTCCAGCATAATATACTGGAGTTCCAGCAAGTATAATGGTCCAGTATAATATACTGGAGTTTGGAGCACCAGTGCTCCAGTCTCCAGTATATTATACTGGAGCCAGCAAAGTATACCGGTCCAGCATAATATGCTGGAGTTCATACACAAGTGCACCGAACTCCAGTATATTATGCTGGACCGGTCTCTATTGCAGCAAAACGATGGCTATTTTTCATTGACTTGGTAAACGCTGGCTATTTTTGATTGACCAGTCCTAAAACTGGCTATACCGTAAAATTTTGGCCAAAAGTTCTCCATTCTCCATTTTGAAGGCTTGAACCCGAGAACTCTAGTTAAGTTTAGAGGAAGGTCAATTATCCCACCAATTCACCACAACCCTCAGTGGTAAATAAGACGATTCAGTTTGAACAACCTGTAATGCAGCTCTAGAGAGCGAAATTAACAGCTTGTTTGGATGGTTGATACATATTGTTTCATAATGTATCGTATCGTATAGTATTGTACTGTATCGTTTGATAAATACCATGTCTGCATAGATTGTATCGTTTATCGTCGTTTTATTGATATAACGTATCATCAATATAAAGAATAAACTATGACACGAGGTAGAATTATTATATAAAAAGGTAGGGTAAATGATAAAATAAAATTATGTAATAATAATGAAGGGCGAGATGAGAGAAAAAGACAAGGTAACTATGCGACCACACCAAATCGATCGTTACATTAAGTGGCACATTTTGTCGTTACGTAACTACGAATTTAACAATACGATACAATAAAATTTAAGTAACAATCGAAACAAACATCGTATTTAAAAGTAACAATACGATACAATACAATACAATACATAACAACCATCCAAACAAGCTGTAAGTATAAATGAAGTGAATTTCGCATACTGCCGTGTTTCCTCGCCTGTTAATTTATCAAAACCACATATTTACTAATACCCAACCGTTGTCTCTTTACTTTCTCCCCAATTCCTTTCATACCAATCACAGATGTTTTTGTCGAATGCTTCAGTACATCTACACAAGCCCTTGTAAAGGTCAACAGAGTTTACCCAATATGAAAAACAATTCAACTGCAAAATATCATTTCCAGAACAGATCTCACAAGAATATATTTGAGGTAGAAGAAGAAAAAGAAATGGTTCATTCATCTTTGTCTTTTTGTATTTCTCCGAGGCAATAGAATCAGGACAGTGAAAGTGAAAGTAGACATCCTTTTTGTGACAGTTCTGAGATCATGGCTAATATTCAAAACAGAACGTGTGGTACTAAGCTCCAACATCTAACGACACTGTCAAACGTGGTGTTTCTTTCTGTTCTTATTTACCACTAGACTATATTTCTCTAATGCAACACAGAAGCAACGGGAAAAATAAGATCTATAAGGAGAACGTGAACGAAAAGAAAAAAGGGAAAATGTTGTGACCAAGAAGAAAAATATGAAGCCAGTTCCCTATGGTGCTTGTTATTTGCTTCCCCGCTTCGATGTATCAATCACCACTTCCGAGTAGCAAATTGGGCAAGCCTAACACATTAATGAATGACTTAGCAATAAAGTACATGTTAAACATTTAAGGAAATTGTTTTTAGAGGGTTCAATTGATTACTTTGTTGATACTTAGCCATCTGCTGCCACAACCAGCATGATAGAGATGTTTGCAGGGAAGAGTGATCTGTCGGTCATTTCGTTTGTACTCCATCTGGCAGATGACACACCTGGAAATAAGAAGGAGAATCTATTGTGATCATTGAAAACGCTTTGATACAATACCTTGCCCACAATACTAGGCAAAGATAATCATGATAGACAATAATAGATTTTTTTGGGATATAAGTACTAATAGATAATTATGGCAAAGATGACATTTTCATTCAGTTACCTCAGAATTCAATTACCTATGGGGAATAAACAAATAAACACAAACACCGACACATAACATATATTAAACTCCACAATATGCAGAAAATAACATCTCTCAGAGGAAATCTGGAAAAGAATATGTGCAAGCGAAACATAAAAGGTTGATACCACCCAAAACTAGGTAATATAGAACACTGTAGTAAAATATCTAGATTTAACTTCAAAAGGATAAAGAGTAGAAATCTAAGCACTATTCAGATGAAGAAGATTGTTGATGAGAAACATAAAAGACAACTAGTCACATAGAAAGACAACCCACCAGCCTATTATACTTTGAAGAAAACATGACAATCAGCACAGAACAAGAAGCATACGAATAAAATTTTATCATGCCATAGCTATAGGATTATTAGACATTGTTCATTTTTCCATTAGTTTCCCTTATTTATAGGAAGAGATTCTCGATGGGTTTGTTCTACCTTTCCTTTCTTGATTTCTTTCTTGAGAATAAGCCACACTTAAACTTTGTGATTGGAAGCAAGGAGATTTGATCTTGGGAAAGACCTCTGCTTTGAGTTCCAACAGCCTCCCCCAATTCAAGTAATTCCTGTAATTCAATCCACATAGAATTAAAACTACAAGTTTTACCAAGTCGCCAACATAAATCTTCAAATACTCTAAAACAAAGAAAAACTAAAACATTACTTACGGATCATCACTTAAACAAAGGAAACAATCATTAAAAGAAAAGAATCATTTATTGTCTTCTATGAATATCTGCAGAGAATAATGTGAACACTGGACAGTATGTAATGCAGGCCCGTGAGTTACACTACTCATCAGCTATAATATTTCTAATATGATATCTAAATCAATTTGCTTAAATAGTATCATGATCATGACTGTATTCTATATGAAAAAATGGTTCAATGATGAGAACGACCTGATATGAAAACTTCCACAAGGAGCCGTGAGCATCAAAGCACTCTTTAGCAAAGAAGAATAAACTCAATAATCTCTTTCATCAAAAAAAAAATCAATAATCTTTCATTCGACACCAAGCCACCATTCTCGTCAATGATGCACATCACATGTCTACAACAACAACTAACTCTCGATCCCAAGCTAGCTGTGGCCAGCTAGATGAATCCTGACTATCCATTTCGCTCCATCTAGACTAGTAGGTGATAGAAATCCCCGAAAAAATATACGGTATCTTACAGGACTCTCATGGCAATAAACATTTCACATTAACCATCATAGCTTTGACAACTAATTCTCTGCCTCTAATATACAGGATATTACTAAAAGAACTCCGACATGAGATTCTCGATGTCTCAAATGGATCACAAGATAATGATACTATTAGATGATGCACAAGATAATTATAATACAAGTCTATTAAGTGGAGATGACAGAAATTTTACAAATCAAACCTCATAGGTCATGTTGTCAGGGTCGATATTATCTTGCCAAACAACCTGCATTAATTTACAAAATAGATGAATGAAACTAGTCAGTAATTCTAATCACAAGAGGACAATGACTTATGCTTACTTAGAAGCCAGTAGCACTTCCTGAAAACATCAGCAGGAAGAGAAAATGGAAGACTCCTCTTGTTACTATTACACTTTCCTTATTCGTCGAAAGAGTAGTTTAATACTATTTAAAACATCCAGATGTTATATCATTTGTCTGCTTTGAAATCATTATTATAGTTACAACCACAACAGAGAGAGCAGTTTTCTCGTAGTATGCAGAGAGAGCAGTTTTCTCGTAGTATGCAGATACTATGAATAAGAAAGTAGAGGTTATGGTGGTTATACTTCAGCTGGACTAATTACCATGTCATGAAAGAGAAAAGCAACATAACTTTGGAATATAACTTCATACCTCACTGTCACGAGTATTAATTTGACCCCTAGGACCTGAAAAAGAGCAAAGGGACATGCTTAGTCATAGCCTAATGTATCATAAAAGTAGGAAGCTCTTTATGAATAGGCACAAGCAACAGCAGCAAAAAACGACAACAAATGAGACTGCAAATACTCAAAGACATAAGATCCAACAGTGACATATTCCATACAATTTTTGCTGCGTTCAGATCGACCTATTTCCTTCTTAAACTCTATTCCATCACAAATTTCAGATGTATAATCGATATAGATTGCAGCACAGAATGCATAATAGAAGAATGTACTCAATACATGCTTCTAGACAGCTGCCTTACAAAAGGATACTGTCATTATTAGGTACAACTATGTTTCTTTGGGCAGTCTGATTTGCAGCTAAACAGTTATAGGCATTACAGCCAATTATTTTGCTCATTTCATCTTGTATGCTCCTTAGGTTACTTTTGTTACTCACATAACTTTCAGAAACTGATATATGGAAAACAGAAAGAACTTGTAAGTTGTAACCAGTTATTGTAAAGAAGAAAAAGCCACTGAGCTTTCTGAATAACATTTATCATTGAAGCAGCAAGGCAGAAGGTTTTAGAGACTACAGGAGAGAGGGAAGCGGATGTAGAGAGTGTAATAAAGCAACCTTAGCACCATCACTTTGACTTAGGAACGTATAATGTGCTAATATTTTGTATATTTCATAAACAAACTCATTTTATCACCCTCCACGGACTATAACATGTATTTACAGGCAGATCTTCAATTTGATAAAGGATCTGCCCAATCTAGAATGTTGGCAGTGGACCAGCAATTTCCATCGTCTATACAAAATCGGTACTAAAAGAGATGGTCTTCAGAAATCCTGTAGCAGAGGTCTCTTTTACTGAAACAGCAGAGAAACGTTCCAATGCCTTCAGAGGATCAATTTGAGTCAACTAGTGCAGACCACAGGCTACCACCAATCTCATATGATGAGCATGAATCATTCAAAGGAGTTATCAGACAAGAGGAATTTGTTTATGGTGTTGGCTGGCCTTCTTCTAATCCATCCAAGTCAAATATTGTTGATTGACTAATGCACTTTGAGTGGGCATTGCGCAAGACTTGCTCAAACATGAGGCTATAGCTCAAGAGCTTTCAAGACAGCAAGATGACAATTGGAAGGTGAGTGCTGTCACTTCACCTTTTTAACCAAATCTAACATTGAGATGCAAAAGAACAGTAGATCCCTGTCCTTGATGCTCAGAGCTATAGGAGTAAAGGAGGGGAGGTGTAAAGACATAGAATTATGGTTTTAAAGGGTTGATCCTAGTATACAAATGGCTGTGAAATTCTGTAATCTCGTGTTCGTTAAATAGTCAAAAATAATAGTAAAATTTTAAATTAAAAAAACACAGGGAGATATCTCTACAGTAGGAATGAACTGCAAGGGTGCTAACTAATGCAGGTAATTCATGGTTGTTTTTTCATCAATTAGCAATTACAAAAAATATTCATGGTAAGTGATCATTAGATCATTTCCGGTGCATTTTCCAAACAATATTTAGTCATATACACAACGCAATTAGAATAAAGAGAGAAACTGTGGAAGATGTTTCCCTACACATAGGCTTTCAACATTCTACTTTTTTTAGCATGGTAACATATTATATATTTGTAGCACAACGGCATTCTACTTTGTTGGATTTTATTTTAAAAAAACTTGTACATATCAACCACAGTAGAAAGACTGTGAAAAGGAAACTTACATTCCACAGAATTAGTGCGTGAATTGGAGCCTGAAATTTCTTCTCTATGCACATTTGCAGCTACATTCTGGAAACCAGTGGCGGTTGAAGGGTTCTCTACATGTCTATCATGCTCCTCGATTCCAGATACATGATCATTAACCACATATTCATGACCATATTCGTAATACGAGAAACTACCTGCTTCAGAGTACCCAAATTTGTATGGATTGGTACTAATCGATGGGTATAAACTCTCCTGCAAGGATCAGAGAAGTCATATGGCACTGTTATTTAAAATCTTGCTCTACATTTCCAAGTGACTGACAATTTGATATAGACGAAACCCAAGACGCATGAAGAGAATGTACAGGTTGCAGTTAAATGATATCCAAAGGTACCTCTAAGGTCCTCATATGCTTAGCAATTAGTAGCGGAGTTCCTTAGTTTGCTAGAGCAATACGAAAGCTAGTGTCCACTAAATGCAGCACAGTTGCTAATTATGCAGTTGATACATGTCGTACATGTGTACTAAGGCATGGTTCTGGATCTGCTCTTTGCACACTACTTGACAAATGTATGTTCATAATAGAACAGCACATACTTGGTAAACAAATTTCCACTTTCTCACAGTATTTCTTTTTTCATATTCATGATCACTATTTGTAATGTCTGCTTATCTAACCATGATTTACAAAATGTCCAGGGTCGCGAAGTTAATTCTACAAATTTAAAACTGATTATTGTTCCAGTTGTACCCTCATTTGTACAGATTATTTTGCACAATCCTGCATAACAAGGTTCGAGGGCAGAAGTTGGAAATGCAGGGTCAAATTGAAAGTAGGCGAATGCACAACAGGGATGTAAACCGAAAAAAAATGATCAATTGCTGTAAAACTACTGAATGTACCTGACCATATGGAGGATCGGCAAATATATAATTTACATGGTCATATGTAACACCTCCAAAGAAATCCATAAAGCTTCCAATTGAATTATAAGGCATAGCAGCATTCGTGTAATGAATTTCCATTTGCTGATTCCAGTTCATGGTGGATTACTAGTCTGCAACAAATTGGTACATTCTTCGTATCAACTCTTTAAGGTAAAGTAGCTATGAAGACTACAAGACTCCATAATCATATTTACCAATAATTCTTCAGGAAAGCAGAGAGATGAATAATCAACATATGAAACTCAGATTCCAAGATAAGCAATGTGGATCCTCTTCAGATTTGACAATCCTATTAAAACAAAACAATCAGTTTCTTTTAACGTGATCTGTAAACCAAACCAAAAAAACATTAGAAGACAAAATACATAGACTATATCCTGTAGGTGCAAGAAATGTACAAATATAAAAAAGTATAATTAAATTTTTTAAGCAGAAAATTACAACTAATGGAAACAGTTACTCTGATCCTTACTTCTCTTCAAAAACAGTACAAATATTTTCCAGCACTTTCTCAGTAACCAAAATGTATTGCAACAAGTCAACAATAATTCATTCAAAATTAACAACATAATGACACATTATACTTGAGAAATTCAGCGCTAAGAGCAAACTGCTCAATATCAAGAAACTTCAAATAAATCAAGCAGTCACAATGTAATGCTGCAAAAAACACAAATAATGCACAGTGAAATTTTCTTCTTTATTTTTATTGTTGGAACAATTTCCAGCATTTTCTCAGTAGCCAAACAGATCACAGCAACAATTCAACTGAAATTACCACCATATTGGCACATTATACTTGAAAAAATTCAGAGCAAAACCAAATTTCAACTAAATCAAAATTCTTTAAATTTTGCAAAAGAACACACAGATTGCACACGATTTTTTTCTTCCTTTTTTTAGGGAAGAATTCATAGCATTTTCTCAGCAAGCAAACGGAGGGCAACAACAATTTGAACACAACTAACACCACGTTTGGCACATTTGCTTGAGAAACTCCAAATAACAACCAAAATTGCTCCATAACCTATTACTGTTAATTCCTTGATTTTGCTATAATTAAAAAAGAAAAACATATTTGGCACATTTCAGTTGAGAATTTCTGGACAGATCACAACAACAAAAAACAATTAACACCGCATTTGCACATTTCAATTGAAAATTTTCGGAGCTCAAAAAATAACAAAACGCAAATGCACAACTTTAAAAAAAATGACGATTTCGGGTGAAAAGAGTTTCCAGCATTTTCTCAACAACCTAACAGATTGCAACAACAATTCGAACGAAATTAACACCGCATTCGGCACATTTAACTTGAGAAAATTCGGAGAAAAAACAAACTGCTCCATAACCTATCATTAATTCCTTGATTTTGCAGTAAAAAAACACATAATGCGCATAAAAAAGGGCACATTTTCTGAGCAACTAAACAGATCACAAAAAAACAATTTGAACGAATTTTACACCGCATTTTACACATTTTAGAAGAGAAATTCGGAGCTCACCATACAAAAGCAAGTAATAATAGCTAAAACTGAATCAAATCGAATGGAACCGAATAAAGATGAAAGGAAGATAAAGAGTTGAAGAAAGGAACAATATATTGTGAGAATTAATAAAGAGAACCGACATTTGCTTTGCCTTTTTTACGCAGTCGTCAAGCTCCTCATCAAAGTCACTCTCTTTCTCCTCTTCTCTCTCTCTCTCTCTCTCTCTCTCTCTCTCTCTCTCTCCTTTCCGGTTTTGCTGTGTCTCTTTTGTGTGAAAATGGCATGAGAGAGAAGATGAAGACAACGTTGCAATTGAGTTTATTTTTTCACCTTTTCTCTCTCATCAGTTCTATTAAAGATGGATATGGAATAAAGTACAACCTTTAAAGCTCAGTGTACTATGGCTGCTAATTTTTTATTTTTTTATCTTATCTCTTTTTTAATTTTTAATTTTTTTTTATGTTCTCTCTTTTTTAATTTTTAAAGAAGGATCTGTGATAGTTATGCAAGGATTATAATATAAAAATTATTTGTGTGATTAGCTTGGCACAAATTCATATTTGAAGATATTGTTATGATTATAAACATATACTATATCCGTTCCAATTTATGTGAATATATTTCCTTTTTAGTTCGTGCAAAAAAGATGACTCCTTTCCGTATTTGAAAACTATTAACCTTTATGCAATACACAAAATATATGTGCCTCAAAAGTCTTCTCATTTTTCTTAAATTCCGCACCCAATTAAATAAGTTCACATAAATTAAAACAGGGGGAATAATATTGAACACTAGCCAGGCTTCCGGGGTTGTATCCTAGTGAACAATAAAATGAGTTAAGAATCACGAGGTCAAGATTTAGTTCTCAATACTAGGTGATTTTTTCTTACTTGTCCGGATCATGGTGTACAGAGTTACCAGAGTTACCAGATACTTATGCTAGTAGAAAGATAAGATATGTTATAAAATTAATCAAAGTGCGCACAATTTGGTCCAAATATATGGCTATTAAAAAAATCTATTAACCCCATTGGATTCAACTTGTCTATCTTTAGTTGATGATGCTGATTTATATGGTAAATGAAGGGTCAAATCCATGCCCAATAGTGCAACTTTTACTTGAAAAAGTCAATCAATAAGTGGCTAAAAGGTACTATTACAAGGGAAATAAGACCTTCAACTCGAGAAATTGAGTTTGAGTCCACGTGAGAAAGGAAGATTAAGGAAAACAATTTTTCACCCAAGGATATAGGAGAACTTTTGCAAATACTCAAGTGATTACGTTAATTCAAATAATTTAACCTTAATAATTGAAAATTAAAGTAAAATATGTAATGTTATTCAACCATGCTTAAGTGATTAGATATATCTATCAAGATGTTCGTCCGGTGCATAAAGCATCTCGCATTCATGCAGGATCTAGGCAAAGGCGGCTCAAGCACATGTCTGCCCTAAAGCCAAAGTTTAATGTGAGGTCTAACTATTTTAAAAAACTATGATATATATTTTTATTTGAAGTCCATTTTTCTAGCCTTTTGAGATGCAAAGTTATTAATAACTTTTTTTATTATCGATTTCCTCTAATAATTCCTTTTCAATTGGTAATATAGCCAACTCATTTAATCTTTCTTGAAACATTGCTAAACTTAGGTATTATTAATGGAGTATAATTTTGAAAAACTTCTTTTTTTGAGTCAATTGTTATAGGAAAACTCTAGTGTTATATTAAAAATACTAAATATTATTTTTTAAATACCTATGAACTTATTATTTCTAAAAAAATGGGCCCCCAAATTTGGGAGCCTAAGGCACTAGCCTTACCTGTGATAAGGTTAGAGCCGACACTGGGTCTAGGGAAGGGCCAACCTACCCTGATGTTCAAACCCGTGACCTATAGATCACACGATGATATTTATAAATTAGTCGAAGTCGCACAAACTGCATATCCAAACACACAATTATATATAAAATAAATTAGATTTAAATTATCTAGTGTATTCATTAATTTAATGTAAGTATAGATAAATTTTCACAAAAATTAATTTCCTCTGGAAATTTATAGAATATTTCACTCTTTTGTTTTTCTCATGATGATTGAAACACACGCGTGAGCTATTCACACACAGTGCGTGAATAGTGACATATTTATGTAGGACAATAGGACTTAACAGAAGCATGCAAACTCCGTTACTGATCACGTAAAAAGAAAGTAACCCATGCACAACAGTGCATGATCAGTTAAATCACCGACCAATCAAATCACGGGTTACAAAACACGTGCCACTCTTTGGTAACGGCGTGTACTTTGTTACAGGCGGGTGATCTAATTTCATAACTAGCCCACTCTATAAACTACTATTTATATTTGTTAGACGAAAAAGTGTATAAAATTTGTATAATTTTTGTAATAACATATATTATATTTTTTCGGCTATTATTTTGAGAACAACTATACAGTATCATTTTTCAATTAATTTAATGCAAAAAACAGTGTTGGGCTCAATCAGCTGCTTTTAATATGGTGTGATATTATCTCCTTCGGGCTAAGTCCATATAATTTTTTTATAACCTCACACTCACATCATTAATAGATCCATACACCTTATATGTTGGCTCCCAATCTATTTAGTTACCAATGTGAAATTTTATTAGCATAATCAACGAAACTTTACCGGTGCCACCGGCCACATAGTAACTAAGTTCTTCTCGTGTACGTGTCTCCAAGTTCGTATGGGTGAGCAAACCGAGCCTGCCAGTTATTGGGCTAAACCAGTCCAAAGATATTCTTAACATGATGTGATGTCAAACACGTACGATTTTTTCCAAAAGACCTTACACCCAGGGCGGATGTAGCTTTTTTCTACGGGTTCAACGGAACCCATAACTTTCGACATAGAGTATGAATTTATATGTAAAAACTTACTAAAATCTCAACAAATAATAGATTTGAACCCATAATTTTAATAGTACCATGAGTTCAATACTAAAAATTTTAAAAGTTGAATCCATCCTGAATCTGCCTCTGCTCACGCCATTAAAAGATCCATATACCTTATATAGAAGTTTCGATTAAACTACTAATGTAAACTTTGTTCGTACAACCAACAAATAGTTACACTTCATTATTTTATGGTAGCACAAGAAAAAAGTAGAAGAATATGAGAAAAAAGGCAATTACCGGTTTCTTGTACTTTACTTCTTTCCTATAGTGGAAAACTATAGCTTTATCTTTTGACTTTGTCTTTACGGTTTGTCCAATATATATAAATAAGAAAATAAGATATTTTCTAAACCCCAAATTGACTGAAGAAAAGGAAAAGAGAAAATGACACTTCTATAAAACATAATACTACTAGCTTTTACTGAGGATTATCAATTCATGAAGTAAAAAAAAACCTTTGATAATACATTAAAGTAGTTATAAACCAAAAGCTTATAAGAAAATCATTTTTCCTAATTCATTATTAAAATAGAAATGAGTAAATTAAATATAGAAGAAATTAGATAGTACAATATTAAAGCGATACATTATGAAAATCGACCTTTCAAACGTAGTATTCAAATAGATAATTGTTATTTACGAATTACGAGAATTCCAAATTTCCCGAACTTATCAATAACCTATTAGTACTCATGGGTAGTTCATTTGTAAATATCACAAAAAAATCTACAAAATTTATATTTGTTTGAAATTCAGACTAATTATAATGGTAACATATTAGAATGTGTTAATCTCTTTTAAATGTAAATTTCACAATTTTGAACTTGTTATTGTCTCTTCAGTCATGAGAGCTGCTTTTAGAGAAGTCTAATGTTGACTTACAATTTACTAAAAAGAACTAAAGAGTAGTACAATCAAACATATTTATAATTAACAGTGTCCCTATATAAGAGTCATTCACTATAAAAGTCAAGTTTTTTTCGGAATCGATTATTATGTTATGTTATAGTATATGTCCTTCATAACAACACTTCACAACAAACGAGTCTGTTATAAAGATGTTTGACTGTACAACTTTGGCTTTGGAAATGGCAGCACGATGCATAAAATATATTTATGCAGGATTGGGGGAAGGATCGCAACCTAAAGGTTGTGATGTAGATAGTCTATCCTAATATAAGTATTACTACTGTTCGAACTCATGACATGTAATTCACGTACAGAAAGAATTTTACTGTTGCTTCAAGACTCTCCTTCAGTGACTTTGGCTTTGGACCCCACAATAAATCCTAGGATTCGAATAAGTAGTTGGCGTACTTGTCGCTTATTTTCTTGGATATATGGGCCATATGGTAGAAAAGGAAGATAACCAAAGAATGATTCTTGGCCTAGAAGTAAGTTAGAAATTGGTTATGGTTCGTTGAGAATTTAGCCCCACATGCCTTGATCAAATTCGAGTGGAACTTTACATACTTTGTTGTAACTAATCTCCTAATTAAGATATGACACACTATGATGTGACATATTAGTCAATCAAAACTGTTGTGATTATGTTTTTCATGAGCTCAGAGTCTATCAAAAATAATTTTTTTACCTTCGTAAAGTAGGAAGAGGCGGTTGACAAGCCTTCTTCGAAACCGGGACGGTGCGAACCCATGTCCCGATACGTTAGTTTGATAACCAACATTGAGAGGGTAAAAGCTGACTTCCGCTGGGGAGAGGCGGTGCAGGTGGAGGCTCCCTCTCGGGAGGAAGATATAACGACACACAAACCCGGTTTCCTTAGCGTGTACACATATCCCTTCACCCTAGGTCCGATAGGACCATTCTCGCCATCGATAGACCCTGTAATCCTTGACTTATGCAGCCAGTACAGGGTGACGCTTGGCCAAATTCATCCATCATTCTGGCACGTCATTTACATGATTAGGCACTTTGCAAACATGGTCGAGGGGTTACCTTTTACCCTTGATCATCTGATTAGGATGTACAGCCCCCGACTTTATCGGGGCGGCCTG